GCGCGTTCTATCTGGACGAGGAGAATGAAGTGCTGAAGCGAGACTTTGCCCAAGCTACGCTAGAAGATCACTTTGATAAAACCATTCTGCCCAAGGTGATGCAAGTGAAGAACTTTGGACGCTGTGGTCGCACCAAGTACACGCATTTAGTTGATCAGGATACCACAAAATTCGATTCGCCATGGTATGCTGAGACGTCCAATAACATGAAATTTCATAACGAACGCGCCGGCGGCATGAGGCAGCAATTCGAGAAACCAACGGGCTCCAAACGGAAGAAGTTGGAATAGTAAAAATAGATGTGTAAAGTGGAAAAATAAATACAAATTAGAATATAATCTCCAAATACATAACTGGCAAACAATTTTTACAAAAACATAATTTGGTAAATACAATCGGTACATATACAGACTACAGAAAATATATGAATAGGAAATAATCGGATTAAACGCTAGCCAATAACAATGTAAATCTGACAATGGATTTTATACACTTTAGCTGAATGATTTTACGCCTATTTATATCTATTTACTTATATCTACTAAATGTAGCTTGTGCTCGTCCAACAGCCCCAAATTATGCTGGACAACTGCCTGCATGACACCCTCTGTTGTAATATATTGTACATCTTTGTAGTTCCTGAGAAGCGACCAGACGTGCTTATCTTTATTACTAGCAATCGCATATAGTTTAATATTGCTCGCAATCGAAGGGACCTTCGCGTGCACGGTTCCACCGGCGCTCTCTATAATGGCTGTGAAGAAATGGAGGAATCTTAGTTAAACTGAAATTATTAAGTTAGATTCAATTACCTTTCATATCGTTGGGACTCGGCTGGATGTCCCCACCGAGCATGAATTCGATTCCTTTCAATAAGCTGGGATTTTCAAATACTGATAACGGCTTAAACTTATAAATCTCCTCAAATTTATCGTCCTTGAATATATGATCCGGTTCCACAATAATGGAACGCGTTTTCTTCATGGCATGCAGCCATTGAGTGGACAAAATGGGTTTGTTCCCTGCAACTCCAACCAAAAACTTGTAAGTGCGTTCTCCTCTATCCATGATGAGCAAATCACATTCTACTGGATCGTTGGTAACTTCTATAGCATCTATAAAGAGTGAGAGATATTAGTAATTGAAAGTTTACTGTAATCAAAGATATTTAAGAAAATACTTTTTAAAGCCGTCAAGACCGGAGTCAGCTCAGCGTGATTGCACATAGATAATGCTAAACGAAGTTTTCCCGATCTTTTTATTTTCTTGATGTAGTCGTTGATTTCTGAAAAACATGAAATGCATTAGAAATTGTTTGTGATCAAATACATTCAAATATTACCTATTAGTGGATTCCTATTAGCCTGCTTACTTCTACGAGTATCTGTAATGAAATCAAATTAATTTATATAAAATCTTAACTGATCTAAACTGTGCATACTTATTTTTCGGGCATTAGAGCTAGTTGTTGGCTCGTCCTCAATAGTTTCCAATGATGACCTACTGCTACTCCGCAAACCTTTGTCAGATGCATCACCATTAACCTCTTTCGTGTCCTCAACATTTTTTAATGTTGGCTTGGCAGCTGTATATGATACAATTATAATATAATCATGAATGTAAACCGTATAAACTCACAATCAGATTTTCTCGTAGCTGCGCGCGCACTTCCAGCTTTGTCTTTTTTGGCTCCCTTAGCTGCACGCCGGGATTCTTTCTTTGGGATCGGTATTTCCTCCTCTTTTTTATCTTTGGTAATTTCTTCACCATTTTCTTCAACAATATTGTCGATTAACTGAGAGTGTCTTCTTGTTTGTCGACTAACGGGTAGTACATCCTGATTGACAACTGTCCCATCACTTGAGTCATTTGCCTTCTTAGATTTTCTTGATTTAGTGGCAGCTTTAATGCCTTCTTCAATTTGCCCTGATCCATTTTCTTCTGCAGTTTTAACTTCACTCTTAGCATCGTTGCTCTGTTGTGCAGATTTCTTGCTGCCACGTGGTCTGCCCCGCACTCGAACTTCCGTTTGATCAGATGCCTTAGCCTTTTGAGTCTTTGCATCTGAGGCACTTTCAGTAGTTAGCTGATCTTTTTTGACGCGTGTCTTCTTTGGAGCTGCAAGGGAATATGAATTACTTAAATACAAATTAATATTTAACTATTTCTTGAATATTTACGCGTATCCTCGTCAGCCAATGAAGGTCGCTTCAATCGCGTCCTTTTTTCTTTCGTAGGCCCTGCAAGTTTGTTCTCCTCTGCTTCGGATGGTGCGGAAGATTTTGAGATTCGTCTTGTGCGTATTTTTTTACAAGCTATGTAGAAAATATTTGTATGCATAAAGAATGACTATAAACTATTAAAACATACGTGATGCTTCTGGTGATTCTGAACGAGAGGAAGAACGTTTGCGACTGCTTTCTAAGTTACGTTGGTTCTTCTGCATATTAGGCAGCTCTGTGGATTGTGGACTCTGAGAAAAAGAATAAATTAAATAAATGGAAATGACTCTTAAGGCATTTACTAAATCTAAAGAGCTAAGAGACTCTTTCGGAATATACCTTGTTTCCAGCATTTTCGATAGTGCTTTTTCCTTGCTCAACGATACTTTCCTCAGCATCATCGGATGAAGAGAGGCCAATCAGTTGGCTGAGGTCTTTATCAAGATCATCTCCAATTTTAATTGAATTAGGAACTTGCAGGCAGTCAGCATCCTTTTTATCAGCTAGAAAAACATTTCAAAGAATTATAAATTAACATTAATATTTGCAATTGTACCTGGAGCCCTAGCACTGATTGACACGGGAGATATAAACAACTGAGTCTCCAACATATCTTGCGTGTTGTTAGCTATTTTGGCAGTGATACTCAAAATTGCGTCTACTGCTCTATTAGGAGTTGCTGCAGAAGTTGTAGGGGGCTTAATGAACGCCTGTGTTGCTATATAGTCCTCCAAATTATCATCGGCTGCATTCAATCTGGGATCTGAAGGCATTTTATTCGTAGGAAATACTTGAGTTTCTATGAAATCCTCATTATGGCTATGGACTTGGGCAGTGATACTCAATCGTGTGCCCATCAACTCCTGCGATTTTGGCATAGGAGCTCCAGGTCTGACAAAGGCCTGTGTGGCAATGAAGTCTTCCAAAGTATCATCAGATGTACTCGATTTTCGCCGTGGCAATCCTTTGGGAAATGGTTGCGTTTCAAGAAAGTCCTCCTCATTTCCATTCGTATTCGATACAAAGCTTTTTGGCTCTGCCCTTATTGCTGGGAATGCTTGCGTCGCTACGAAATCTTGGGAGTTATCCAGTAGCTCCGTCGGAATGGAATCTGGCGTCTGCAAGCTGGCAACTACGGTCTCCTTCTGTTTGTCAACGACTTTAGTCGATGGACTGCAGAGCACGGTTGCAGGCAGATTTAAATCCGGTGAACTTCCTTTTTGAATAGCGTTGAGCACATCAAATATATCTGGAGTGCAATCAGCATCATCTTGAAGCTCTTCTGACGCTTTTTCTGCTAGAGATAAATCTGGAGTTAAGCAGATATCCCCTCCTCGGGAAGACAAGTCATCAGCCTTGGTGCTGTTCAATGCAGTGCATTTTGAATTGGATGCAGACCAATTCAAGGCACTCATATCCGGATCAGCTCCAGTGGTATCTAAAAGGCAGATAGTTTGATCAACTATTTACAGATAAATTAAAGCTGGGATTACCCTTTGACTGCTTGGCAGGTGGCAGCATCTCCAACTCTCCATTTCCAAGTATAAGCGATGAGTCAAAATCGTCAATGGCATCTTCATTGAATTCATTGAAATCTTGAGTGCAAATTCGTATTTGAGTACCGAGCTCTGAACAATCATCCTCATTGATAATATCTAACTCCTGATTCATTGGAATAGGATTATTACTAGCATTGAGCAGAATATCTTGAGTTTCAGGTATTATAAAATCATCGCCTAATGATATCTTCGATGATTTGCTATCCCTTGCAGGTCGATCCAAGCAAAACGCCTGAGTTTCAGGAATGACGAAACTATCTGTAATTCCCGTATTGTTGGCTGATTGAGGCTCCGATTCGGGAATGTTGAAGCTACCATCAGTTATATTAGTCGACTTATCTCCTCTGGTGACCTCTCCAAAGCCGCTGGAATCGTTAGCCTGATCATAAAAGGAATAGCTTTTATTATTGTGCGTCTCAATTTCTATGGTGCTTCACCTCTTCGGTATCCCTGCGATGGACATCGTTAAATCGCAATTTGCCCGTCACATTGCCGAAGCTCAAATCGACGAGTCCATTGATGGCATCTGATTCGCTAATGCTCTTGACTTCCAGTTCCGTTTTAAGGCCATTCACAAATACATCGCCATTTACGGCTGCTAAGCGCACGATTCCGCCGGCTACCAAAACAATTGTAGCATGCGCAAGCTCAACGGACTACAGATTGAAACAACTTTTAATGTCGATTGCATTGAAATCAATCAAAGCAACTCACTTCATCGTCAATTGAAAATTCAAGACCCGGCCGGCGTCCAACACGATATATTATATCGGGCTCAAGCTTAACCGCTTCCTTGTTGTTGATTTCAATGTTTATGGCTGCCATATTTATAGTATACAATGATTACCCATACAAAAAATGGCGCGAAAATCTGGGAGAGTTTACAAACTACATTTCACTTTACTTCGACCCTGTTTTCGATCGACTGACAGTAGCACGTAACAAAGTTAGTAACAAAAATAACGTAAGAATCAACAACAAAAAACGATTTTCCAAAATAAAAAAAAGTACTCTGCCAATATAAAAGGAAAGGTAATTCAGCAAATCCTCTTATCCATCTATCTACTGGCCAAGAAGCAGGAATCGAGTGTGACCGCTGTAATGTATTAATGTTACTGTTAATGTTGATGATAATGTTACGAAGAGCTGCCAGACTGTGCACTGTTCTTAACATAAATATCGATGCTGTGCTTATTTAACATTCTAAATTTTTTGACAGGGACGTCAGTCTTCGTGACGAAAACAAATAAACTAGAACAGGAAAACGACATTTATTTGTGGTTTTTTGTAAATAATTTTTCACATGTGTAAATTTGCTTAGTGACAATTAAAATCATGTCCGCACGAATGCTAAAGAAGATGCAGGGCGGCTCAGATATTCTGGCACCGCCGCCAGATGATGAATTAGACAACGACCATTTAACTGACAATGACGAACTCGATACGGTCAGGGGAAAATCGCATTTAAATCCATTTGATTTGGTAAGTACCCATAAATTTTAAATGTGTGCAGCTAACGTTGAAAATATGGGACTTACAGCTCAACCAGCAGAGTCTCTCTGAGAGCGAATTCAAAGAGGATGACAACGAAACCGAACATCCATCGGCGGCTATACAGGCCAGTACCGCTGCTAAGAAAAAGAAGAAGAAACGCAAGAAGAAAGTCAAATCGCATGGTAATCATATCAGTAGCGAGGATAACGAGCGCCAAGACAAATATTTAGAAAAAGTTGATCCATTGATTGGCAAAGTGTACGATGCAGTGCCCAAACAGTTGGACAAGACGCCACAACTGACTGTAACAGCACCATCAGGAGCTGAAGGGGGTGGCAAATTGGCCAGCAAGAAACTATTGGCGGTAGAGCTCAAGCACTTAAATCAACAAAACGAAATGAGACGTACATTTGGCAGGCGCGTTGTCAAGGTTGAGTAAGTTTGTAGGCTCTTAACTGGCGAAACCAGATGATCTAATTACACAATTTTCCCATTAGAAACAAACGTGGTCGCCAAAAGACCACGCTAAAATCCACCTATATGGTAACTGCCAGGGACTCATGGCCGCCATTGACCAAGAATATTATCACTATGAAGCTTCTACCAACAACCGAATCGCCGGGCTCCTCCACTAGTCCGAAAATTCAAAAGAGCGACGAAGAAAATGTGCAATGGTTTACCTTCCAGCATAGTCAGTACTATCAGGGAGTTCAGCACATGTTCTTGTCAGCATTGGAACGCATAGATTCCGAATTCTTGATCACTTTAATTAAGCGCTGTCCCTACCATGTCGATTCGCTGGTTCAGCTGAGTGAGGTTTGCAAAATGACAGAGGACTTTGCTCTGGCGTCTGAATTGATTGAGCGTGCGCTTCTATTGCTGGAATCCTCTCTGCACATCAACTTCAGCTTGACGTCGGGAAATTGTCGTCTAGATTACCGAAGACAGGAGAATCGAGCCTTTTTTATTGTGCTCTTCAAGCACACTCAGTACTTGGAAGAGCGTGCCTGTTGCCGCACAGCCTTTGAGATCTCCAAGCTGATATTAAGTCTGCAACCAGATGTTGATCCATTGGCCATGGTACTAGTCATCGACTATTATGCCTTGCGCAGCAAACAATTCGGTTGGCTTGTGGAGTTCTATGAGCAGTACAATACATCCCGGAATCTTGCCCAGCTGCCCAATATGGCATACTCTTATGCACTGGCGCTTTACACGTTGCACGGCAAGTGCGACCGTGCCAACGAGGCTCTTCAATATGCGCTGCTCATGTTCCCCGGCGTTCTGCGTCCGCTGTTGGAAGAGATGTCTGTGCAAACGGATAAGCGTGTGCTGGCTTCATCGTATTTCTTTACCGATGTGTCTGGCGAGTGAGTCACGATTAATTCATATCAATGCGCACCAGTCCCAATCTAATCACTAAACTCTCTTTTTTGTCTCTGCAATAGTCAATCGCCAGCGCTTCACCAGCTTGTGTGCTTGTATGTGTGCCGAGCCAAGGTCGTTTGGCGGCAAAATGATGTTCTATTTTGGCTGGAATCAACTGTAAATACTGTCCTGGATCGCATCGACAGCAAGGATCCTATCATCAATGATTACAAGGAAAAGCGTTCACTTCGCTATAGCGGCACACCACCGCGTCCCATTTTACGACATGTCATACTCTCCGATTTCAAGGAGAAGGTGCCTCTGGCTGTGTTTGTTTCGAAAGAGAAACAGGCTATCATGACCTACGACCCGTTGCCACCCCTTGACAGTGTCAATTGCTACCAACGGTTAGTTAAAGACCAAACTATTCAGAATGATCATTGAAGGAAGCTTTCTTCACTTGCAGCAAATCGTCTTCGAGCAGCAGCCCCACAACCAACACCAACAACTCTGTATCAATGTTTTTCCAGTCGTTGCTGCCATCTTTCAATCTAAACAACATTGCAGCCGCACAACAGCAACCAGATGCTGTTGCCGGAGCTGGCGCTGCCGCACCCGAAATAGTGGGACCACCGCAACGCCAGGCCAACGCTCAAGGCGAAGCAGAAGGTTAAATTTTGATGTGATTTCATCTTTTTTATATTTGTCAATTAGAGATCAAAAATTATTTTTATAAAATCTGCATATGCATCTTCATTTACTCCCGCAGAAGCTGGTCTTCAGCAATCATTGGTTCTAATGATGGACGCTATGCGCGACTTTTTACAAAATTTCCGTATTGCCGAGCATTTGCGCTCACCAGAAACAGCCGTTGCTCAGTCAAGCAGCAGCAACGACGACGAAGAAGAAGGATCTAGCGACTATGTGGATTAGAGTCAATGTCAATTAATAATACAACATTATATCCTTCACAGACACTTAAAGACAACAATGCACCACACTTCTATCCAGTCGAATGGGTTTAATAATTTGCATCGCTTACTGTTTGGAGCATCCTAGAGTGGAGCTCTTGAGTCAGTGTTTTCGGAAAACACTTCGCTTTCTGTTGCATCGGCGTAGCTGTCACAAATTTTAATTATAGCAAATTTCTTATATACATGTGTATCCATTGCATTAAATTCCTTGTCAAAGCTTTAGAACAAATCCATCGGGTATTTTTACTGTTTGGGTCAAGGGAAAAATATTGCAACTTATCAAGGATGTCACCTTGAGCTTAAAGAATGTTTTATTGATTTAATGAATGCCTTTTCAGTTACGCTTATCAATATAACAAACAGATTTCTCATCAATATTAGTTTTCATCTTTTTCTCTTTTAAATATAAACCGTTTGCAGTTATTGCAATATATAAATATTACTATGACAAGTACAATTTCATATATAATTGTGTTTAGAGCGGGATTCAATGGAGCGCCGTTTGGTGTGTGTGTGTACGTTTTGTATTGTTTGTCGAGTGTGTATGTGTGTTTGTGAGTGTAGGTTATAAAAAGTTACACATATACATATAATCTTGTAGAAGTAATGCACCTTATAAAAAGTTTAACTGGCAGACATTGTTGTTTAAAGATCTTTTAGCTTAAATTCAAAATCAGAATCACACAGAAAATAATCATTTGGCCAAATATGATTTACGCGTATTGCTGATATACAAACATTTAGGACAACTTTAGATCTTAACACATAGAAAATCATTACTAACGGCTAAGCAATACTATAGCGTGGAATACGTGATCGCATATAGAATAGAATAGAGAACGAAATCAAAACGAAAATAATAAGTAATTAAACGCAGCATTTCACAGGCAGCTGCGCAGAGACAACGATTATGATTATGTCATTGTACCAAAGACGGGATTATGACGGCAAATGCTGGGACCATACTCCTCATAGGCAGCCTTCGTGTGACACACCTGATAAAACTCGGGCTGCAAAGCAAAATATTTATTAAGTTCAAATAACTCATGTTTTCCCAATTAATGCTTACCGTTGAGGCCAGCATACTGCCTCCAAACCAGACGGCATAACGCTGCATATGATGCGTAATCACTGAAACATCAATAGGTTTTGGCTGAAATATAAATTCGAATTGATATTATGACTCATTATTGATTAATAAATGAAGTCATCAGCATATACCTTAATGCGTCCCTCAGACAAGTTCTCACTAATTCGCAAACGCGTATCCACCGACCGCTTAATGTCTCGTTGAAGGCGTCTACCGAAGTCCTTGAACATAGTCGAGCCACCGCTCAGTACAATATTGTTATAGAGAGGGCGACGTACATCAATTGGACAGTTCTGTATGACATTGTCAACAATTTCCGAGAGCGGTATGGTAAAGTCTGGATTCGAGAATTCGGGATGAAAGAAGATCTCCGGTCCGAGGAAACGCTCATAGCCCACATCCACGTTGAACGGTTGTTTTGTGACAGTGTTCAGGCCTGTATAGTTGCGTATCCACTTGTTTGGCTCCGCATCGTACTTGGCAAACTCTTTGGCTATATCTGGACATATGTAGCAGTGTTTCTCTTTAATCGCTTTGGCAGTCTCGAGGCTCTGTTCTGGCGGTATGCCCACTTCTCGTTCACGCAATAAACTCTGAATGAACGACGTAATGTTGCGACCGGCAATCGGTATATGCTTGATGCATGAACCAATCACATAGCCTTCCGCCTGTCGAAGAATTTGGGGTAGAGCAGAAAGCAGAGATAAGATATGCAGGGTAAATAATAAGTATTGTAATGTACTTACCACGGGAATAACGTGCGTCACACCATCACCGCTGTCTACCACAATGCCGGTTAGGGTTCGCTCTTCCGCGGATCGAGATGCCCAACTGGCAGCCAGGGCGAGCACGGCTTGAACCGCAATATAAAGACCAGGAACATTAAACGTTTCAAACATTATTTCCGCAGTATATTCGCGATTCTCTGGCGTGTTAAGTGGCGGCTCGGTTAACAGAAAGTAATGATCTTCTGGCTCGGCACGCAAATACTTAAACACGCATTGCTCCAAGAAGCGCTCCATAAGATCCCAATCCTCCACCAGGCCATGACGCACAGGATACTGCAAAGGCACAAGACCACAAAACATTATTTTAGGTTTCAACATTTTTGATAAACAGTCTTTTATCAGCTGTTGTCATATCACGAAGTCATTCACGAGCTGCGATATCGTCGCAAATGCGTGCGCATAGGCCCTGCATAGTTAATGCTGCTTACTCACTTTAATGGAGTAGCCCGTGGCATCGAACGCCTCGTCGCCAATGAAAAAGTCAAGATCCTCGATGCCTTTTGTGACGCGTCGCTTACTAGTGTCGCCAACGCCCGCAGATTCTTTAATTGCGATGGCCGAGGGTATTATAAACTGTGGCTCCTTGTTGCCAGCATAACCCAGTTTGGAGTAGCTGTCAACGTAAACATTGTGTCATTAGTGGAACATTCAGGTTTGTGTACAAATATGGCACGTTCCTCCACAGGCACCAGTTACGAATACCACGCACGAAACTTACCCGGTGCCCACATCGATTACGCATGCCGGTAGCCTGCCTGCCATGTTGACTGAGGATTTGGTTGATTTTGCTATTTAACGGTCTAAATTACACTTTTAGCTTGAGTTTTACACAACTTTCAATTCGATTGCCTTGCTGATAAACACCAAACTTTATAAATTTTCAACCACACCTCCTCCAGCGACGATGTGTCATTTAGAAAAACTTCGCTCTTTGTCACTCACACACACATTAGCAACACCTATATAGCCAGCGTTGCATTGGTGTGCGATACGTTTTCCAGCACTCTCAAAAATAATCGAAACGATTAGTGTCGGTAACGATAATATATCACACGCTTCGCTCGGACTCGCAAATTTCGGCGGTGTGTGTGTGGCTGCGACAGCCTTTTTCCACGTTTTTCCTATTAGCGTATATTTTTGCAATTGGCCTTGCCAGTGCATCATTTATATCGATAATTTAGCTAAACCTTAGCGAATTGCGGGTGATTAGTGGGCGCTTCTTTGTTTGTGCAGCAATCACAGCAAAACCGGCGAATAGGATTAATCACATACACGAAAATGGAGGCACAAAAATTGACGGAACTGTTGCGCGCAACCATTGATCCGAATCCGGAGCAAAGGAAGGCGGCCGAGGATCAATTAGCACAAGTAAGTGACTAGCTAAATAAATTTTAAAGTGCTCCGACACGGCCTTCTATATTGAGCCCCACTGGCGCCATCGCCAATGCATGAAGAAAACCATGTGCTTTTTTAATTGTTCGCTTTTAACCTCCCTCTCTCTGCCTATCTGTGCGCTATATAAATGTGTGTGTGGGAATGAGCGTATGTTTGTGTGTGTGCCCGTGCGTCGATGTGCGGGCGTGCTAGTGTCAATAGTAAATTGATATTAGCCAAAAACAGCAGAAGGCAGCAACTATTTTTTGTTTGCCATACATTTAGCTAGGCCTCGATATTTGGCCCGCTGGCCCAGCGACCTATTGGCCATGCGGCAACAAGTACTGCAGATGGGCTAGGTGCGGGTGGTGCGTTTACCAAAGCAAAGAACGAATCCATACATACATGTATGTGTCTTCCAGTGTGTGAGTGTATGTATGTAAGCTACACTGTGGCAACAAGTTTATATTCCTATTAATTTTAGGGTATTTGAATATCTTAAAGATTCATTTTCTAGCCCATTACAAAATAGTTAATAAAATGTTAGGAATTTTAATTACAAAATTGATAAACACCAAGAATGAAATACTATATTTAAGCATATATATTTAATTGACGGTAATTAAGTTCCTTCGGAAGCGCGCGTTATGAGACATAACTAATGAATTTTATTCAATTAGCTTAGCATTCTGTACCACTGTTCAAAAGTATCTTATTTTGTGGCTGAGTCAGCTTCTAACGATTTCCATGCCCCTCCTTATTCAATCGGTTAATTAACTTTATCAGCATATATTGCAAATTACTACTACACTGTTTGAAGCTTCTTTAATGGGCAAACGCATGCCATTAGAATATATACATATATGCTATACATGTATGTAGGGAATGTGCCTAGAATTTTAAATGTTGCGAATTGGGAGGAGCTTCGCGGCTAGTGGCTACATGCATTGCTATTGTTTTATCAATACACGTTTTCCAATCTTTGGATTGGCATGCGAAATTGTATCCATTTTGTGTGCCACCAAATTGTATTACTCATTCGCCGTACACCACGTTATGCGACAGCTGTATAAACAAATCGTCAGACGGAAAACCTATTTACAAATGTTCTCTCGCCCAGATACACAAAATCATTGGTTTTGTGCCGACCATTCTGCAAATCGTCATGCAAACCACGCTGGAGCAGCCGGTGCGGCAGGCGGGTGCAGTCTATCTAAAGAATCTGATCAACAGCAGCTGGTCGGATCACGAGACAAAGCCTGGAGAGCCCATACCATTCTCCATTCACGAACAGGATCGCGCCATGATACGCAGCGCCATTGTGGATGCTATTGTACATGCTCCCGAGCTGATTAGGTAAGATGCAATGACATAATGCAATGTTTCAGAAATTGATAAATATAATCATGCTTGTGCTGTGTGCTCTACAGAGTTCAACTGTCTGTCTGTGTGAACCATATCATTAAGAGCGATTTCCCTGGCCGTTGGCCCCAAGTGGTGGACAATATTAGTATATACTTGCAAAATCAAGATGTGAATGGCTGGAATGGCGCTCTGGTCACCATGTACCAGCTGGTCAAGACTTACGAATACAAGCGCTTCGAGGAACGCACGCCGCTCAACGAAGCCATGAATTTGCTGTTGCCAATGATTTATCAGCTCATGCTGACGTTGCTCAACGATCAGTCGGAACAATCGGTGCTATTGCAAAAACAAATACTCAAAATTTATTATGCACTAACGCAGTACAGTCTGCCGCTTGACCTCATCACTAAAGAGATCTTCTCTCAGTGGATGGAAATCTGTCGCCAGATTGCCGATCGTGCTGTACCCGATTGCTCGCACTTGGAAGATGATGAGCGCACAGAATTCCCATACTGGAAGACCAAGAAATGGGCGTTGCACATCATGGTCCGCATGTTCGAACGGTAATTAATGTGAGACTTTGATCAGATTTAAATCTAATTCCTATTATTT